CCCCAAAACCCCAAAACCCCAAAACCCCAAAACCCCTTAAAAATAAAATTAATTTAGATTTTTGATAAGAAATGACAACGAATTTTGGAAGTTCAAGTTCAGGCTCTTTCTCACTTGAGGAAAACGATAGTAAGAATATTTTAGATTTTGGAAAGAATTTTGGGGAGGTTTTAGAAAAAGTTGATTTTTAAGCTTAGGAAGGAGCTGAGAAGGGTTTGGAGGGTATAATTACTGTTGGAATTTGATTTTGGATAAGAAGGTTTTTGAATTTATAATTTTCGAGTTTGGGAAGTTGAGTTTGATTTTTAAGGAAGACTATTCTAATTTCTTTTAGATTGCTTTGAAATAAAGTTATTCATAAAATTCTTTGGAATTTCATATTTCTTAAAATACAAACTCTTAGTTTATGTTCTGCTTGAATTTTAACTACAGTATTTCCTTAAAACCCTTGAAAAATCTATGCCTAAGAAATGTTAAACTCCATCCCAAACCTCCAACACTCATTTACCTAAAACATTTTTCTAGTTCACAAAGGTCTTCTAGTATTTTTTCAACGACCATTTAACATATAGTTTCCCCAAAATCCAAGAAAAAGCTTCAAAATGTTACCAGATGTATTATTTTTCTTAACAAATAGTGAAGCCTTTACCAAAATATCCTCATGAGATTATTGATGAAATCTACACTGTAAGCGCTTGGCTCCATAAAGTGCCAAACCAAATTGTCTCGGTCTAAAGACATGTTGAAGCCAAGCTAGATTAGTAGAAGTGCTGTGAAGAGCCCCTAAGAGCCTTTTTAGTGCTATAAAACTCTTAACTAGCTTACCTTGGCTTACAGATTTATTATCGGCCATGATTTTTCCTTAACATTTTCTCTGTTATTGACCTGAAGCTTTCTATAGAGTAATAATGTGCCGATTGATGAGGGGTATCAGAACCGGAACCCAATTAAGATTGTCAATTCAATATTTTCAGCAAGGAAATCTCAGAATAATTCTAAAGACGAAGCATCTTCAGAATTCAGGTATTTCTGAGATATTATTTTAGTGATAAATTTCGAAAGGGAAACTCTGAAGGCAAGGGAAAAGGACCTCCAGATATGTTCAGATCCATGTTTCAAACACCTGATGCTCCTCTTGGTAATAATTTAGGTAAACAGAGCCAGGGGAGAGATCTGGATGAACTATCTCAAGATTCTCGCCAAGGTAACCTTAATAAGAGCATGACAAAATCTCAATTTGGGCCTAAAGATTATCACTCAAAGACTAACAATGGTAAATTGCACTAATAACTTTTAGAGCTTACTGAAGAAGAGAAGGTTCAGATCAATTTAGAAATCGAGAAGGCTAAGAAAAGTATAATTCCTGATTAACCTATAGAGCCAAAAATAAACTGTAGGTTTTCCCTCAGCCTGATCCTCTAGTCTCTTACATCGAAGAACGCTCAAAAGTTGCCCAGCTCTCGGGAACTGTTCAATATGGGCTTACTAAGAAGGAAGAATTCATTGAGAAGTTTAATGGCAGGTTTAACCTCCTGATCAACGACTTCTTGCCGATAAATAAGAAATATGAACAATATTGTCAAGAACCAGCAGTGTATTATCTCTATAAGAAGAGATTGTTCTTCCATAAATTACTCAAAGGTATTTCATATAATACACACTTTTCCTTTCTTAGACTACATTCATAAGTTTAGACCATGTTCTTGATTGTGTTCATGTTAGTTCCTTATATTTTAAACTTTGGAAATTTGGGTGAAGTTATACTATAAACCAAACCTCAGTGATTACAAGAGAGTTTACTATAAGGCAGCTGTTAAGATCTGCCATATATTATTCAGACCGGAAGAGATAACTTGTCTCCTCCTTCTTATTGCCTCTCTATTATTTTCCTTTTAAGCTGACTCCAGTTGTCTTATATACCCAATTGAAAGCTTAGAATTAAATCCTTCTTATTATGATCACAAAATAAAGAATCGAAAACAGAAATTTTATTTTTTAAGAAAGCTTGGCTTGGCTGTTTCTCTCATGGAACTTCTGTTTAAATTTCATGAATAGCGGTGGAATTATGGGCATCCTTATAACTTCATAATTTTAGATATGGTCAAAAAGCCAGAATTCATAGCTCCAAAATTAGGAGTGATTAAGAGAAAATAACAGGAATTACAGTGTCTCGTCTAATAATTCCTTCGTTTCAGTTTTTAGCCAAGGCGCTGATAGAGGAATTAGAAAACTTAACTTTCGAGCCATGGTTAGAAGGCAAGAGCTAGAAAGGCTAAAGAAGCAGGTAGATTAAGCCATTCTATCTTATAGCTGATCACTCTGACTGCATTCAATGCGATTATTGAAGTTAAATCTGAGGATGAGGAGTCCTTCACATCTTCATCCAATAGGTAAGTATCTCAATCTTACCAATAGCTCTGAGTCATTTGATATCTATATTCACAATGAAGGCGGGAAAAAGTCTCTAGATAATTCAAAATCGAACTCTAAGCATGGTTTGAAGAGAACAGGTAGGAGCTTACTCATCCATAGAACAAAAATATACTGAAAAATTATACTACAAATAAACTAGAGAAGGAAGAATACAGAAAGATGAATGATACAATCGAGAGCAAAAGGAATAAAATTATCAAGCGGATTCTGGAGTTAAGCAAGGAAGAGACTAAGTATAAGCGGAAAAATCAGAAGTATAACTATCGTGGATCCCAAAAGGGGATTGACATCGACCCAGAGCTGCTTCATCTATTTCCTCATTACTTTAAGAACAACCAGAGTGAAGCTTCCACAGACTCTATTAGTTCCACTATGAGGAATAGTATCTCTAATAGTCGCAGAAGGATGTTCAGGCAGTCTACTTACAAGCCTTTTTCAAAAGGATTTGGAGGGTTCGACGAAGGCAAAACGAAGAAAATAATCGAGGTAATCTGACTATATGAAAATACTAACCATCTAGGGAGCCAGCAAAGGACAGAGCAAGTTCATCCCACAGGTAGGATTTGATGCAAAACTTTAGGGAAAAGTTCAAAATGCTGAAGATAAACCTCATAATCTTCGGAAAGTCAAGTTACTGTCTTTCAACACGGTTATTCAAGATTCCTCTGACGAAAAGCTCAAAATTAAGAATTATAATGAGACAGGCGATTTGAGGGAAATTCATAATTTTAAGCCTAGAAATCTTGATAATGTGAGTGAGGAAATCTTCTCAGAAGAGTCTTCAAGTGAGCTGAGGTCATTGAAGAAGGCACCAGTCCCACCGAGGAAAATTAGCCGTCAAAAATAGAGTCGTTAATAAAAATGTTTCGATGTTTAAAAGAAAGAAAAAGATGAATGTTTTGAATCTGAAAAATCTCAAAAATAGGCCATTTAGTATTTCTCCAAAGTCCAATAGGCCTGTGGCTTTACAGCCAATTAAGAAAGTACCTAATGCTAAGGCAAAGAGTAAGATCCTGCTAACCCTCTAGTATATTCTGGCAGAATGGCGACAGGATATAAAGGGATTAGAAACAGAACACTTGATGTAGAATCCAGTTCTCGGACCAGAACTATGAAAAGAACTTTTCGTACTAATGAGTCATCAAATTTATTCCCAAGCACTAAGCCTGATTCCAAACATGAGTCTATCCACAGGTGGTTTAGTCCACCACCTTCTAGAAGTTCAATGAATACAATATATAGTCGGAAGACAATGAAGGATATTTATAAAAAGGTGACATCTCTTTATCAAGACAATATTTCTGAGAAGATTTCATACTCTGAAATTGGAAAGATCGATAATAAGGTCATTGAGGTAAGCCAAACTCTAAATATTACGGAGTCTTAGTAGACACACAAGAAGTAGATAAGTCTTCTTAACGTTTATTCTTAATTGAACTGGGGTTTTTACTTTCTAGGAACCCTGATTCCTACATATTGAGAGGTTACAAGCCTTTAATTTTTATAGATCAGCCAAAGACTTAAAGATATTGAAGATTCTGAACCAAGGATCTTAAAACTAATGTACGAGCAGAAGGTTATTGAAGCCCGTGATCATGAAGTATATGTTAAAGGTAGCCATTCCCTTGATCTTTAGAAGCGACAGATGAGTACTTATCAGGCCTGCTTGATCCAAGCAGGATGCATGAGTCTAGAAGAGACCTATCTAGATCCAGAAGAGCATTGAGCAGCTAGTTATAAGCAATTTCAAATAATTTGCTTGAGAAAGCTGGGATGAAAAGTATAGGTAAATTATAAATTCAACCAAAGAGAGCGAGTAGGGGTTTTGGGGTTTTGGGGTTTTGGGGTTTTGGGG